ATATATATTAGAATAAAAAAGGTTACTTTCACTCCTTTTACATTTTAGGGGTCGGAACTCATCTGAACTCTCACCCGCCAGTTTATACCAAGTAAACCTCTGATTGGTTTAGCTGAATAAAAACCTCCAATGGCAGCGAGACTGTTTGGTAATGATTATTTGTGATTGGTTGGTTCTTGTTTTTCTTTACTGGTGGCTTAGAGTTGGGTCGACGTCCAGCCCAAGTCAGTAAAATTATTATTATAACCTGTTGTTGTTTTGGTGCAAAACCAAATGCTTTGTCTAAAGTCTTTGTTCTTTGTATATGCATTCTTTTCAAAAATATTAAACTTATACCTTAATTGCCTTTACCACTTTGCACTTGCTGTTCTTTGTTTTTCCAGCCAGCAGGTGGAGCTGTCTAATCACATCTCCATCGTCTATATCCTTCATTCGAAGCTGATAAATGAAAATGTTGCAAAACGCCCACAAAAGTTCACTGAAATGTTTTGGGGGTTTTTTCCTTTACAAAAACCTAAAGCATCATTACAAAAAATATTAATTATGTTGACAGGTTTGAACAGATTTTCAGGATTGCATTGTCAGAATATTTAAGTTCAGAGGTCCGTACGTTGGGAAGGTCTGTGTTTACCTACTGAAAACTACTTCGCTTAGCGCGTTACCATGTTATCCTGATGAGAGACGAAATCATTTTCCTACTCATGGACTCATGGCCCGTTTTTTTTTACTATGTATCATTGGTGATGCTCTTAAATTGAAGGGGGAAATGTAAGTTGTCTCCATTACATACAGTATTCATCTCATTACATAAGTCTTACCTTACATGGTAGTAAAGTATAGCCCCTTGTATATTTGGAGGATTCCCAGCATGACAACTTTGATTAAGCTATTCTGTAATACTTGGCCTGTAATTAAAATACTGATCATAGTTAAACTGTCTAGCCAGATTTTCATTCTTTTCAAAATGAAAGTGCACTGTTACTCTAGTGACTCGATCCAGAGGTTCAGCCTCAAAGAGAGATCAACAAACCAACTTGACTAGGTAGGATTTTTTCCTTTTGTAAGATAGCATATTAATTGGAGCCTTTTTTGTTTCTTTTCTACAAACCAAGCATCCCCATTAAACTACAGTGACTAACACCTTGTGACGTTACCTTGCTTGTGTGCATTAGAATTATCCATAGACTATATAAAAAGATAGCTGGAGCTCCCAGCTACAGCTATCCATCCATTAAACTTCCATTCATTTTAATGGCCAGTAGAGGGCAACATCTGAATAATTCAGATTATATAAAAATCTAAAGGAAAACAGCCGTGCTTTTGCTCATATAGCACCAAATCTCAATAACAGTCACCTCAAAGTGATTTAGAAGGATACAACCCTCATTGGGGAAGTTCATGTATTCCTGCAGCAAAGTTACAGGCAGATGGAGCATCCGGATTCATGGTATTATTATTATTATTAAAGGTATTATTTATATTGTAAAGACCTAAACTCCAGCAATCGGACGACCTCTTATGAGAAAGCACTTGGCAACAGTGGGAAAGAAAAACTGTGGGTGGGGGGAGGAAGACATGATAAAAGACACACTGTGGAAGAGAGACAGAGATTAATAATAACTAATAATTGCAGAGTGGTGTATAAACACAGAGAGAGACATAGTGGGTCAACTTCCCTCTTAAGGGTTTAAATACATGAAACTCCACCATTTGATTGTAGAAGTTTCTTGGATGGCAGGTGAGATGTCGTCATGAAACTTACAGAAATCCGGTCCCTTTCTTTTCAAGCTCCTTTGACTATCGTCACCTGGATGACAGATCACCCATGTCCTTCAAAACTTCATCTAGCCAGTGCCATATTTTAAAGATGATTAAAACATAGTTTGAACGTTGCTATTCTCGAATGTGATCTTTTATTTCCTATCAAATGAATCACTCGCCTTCCATCACACGCACACTCACGCAGGATCCAGCCGTGTGCTGATGTCAGATGGTGTTGAGTGATCGGTATTGTTTTCATATAGCTTGCACAGATGTCCCAAAATTCCTCAAATGACAGCAAATGAGGGTAATCTCCCAAGTTTCATGACCTGGATCATCTGCCACAGACAGTTGGGATGGATGTTACGCAGCAGCCCCCACCACCCCTCACCCGTGGATCCCCTATTCACCCTCATCCACCCCTGTGAGGCGTTCACACATTCCCTGAGTTTCTGGAGTGCTGTCTGTCAGCGCCTTCTTCCGCTAAAGAGACGCTGACAGCCATTAATTATCACACGGGCTGAACGAAGGGCATTCCTCTCTGCTGAAATATTCATGCAGACACACACGCAGATGCTCCTCAGCTCTCTGCATCCACACACATATGCTGAGAGACGCCACCTGGCCTCCACCGGTCTTCGCTGCATTTGACAAATGAGTAAACGTTTTGTTCCAAGCAGTTGTCCGATCCCCGCCGAGCCTGGGACGAGCAGGCCGAGGCCGGGATGTAATAACCGCTCACCACACCAGCACACATAAAAACACGCAGCGCTGGCCTTCAGCTGCATGTGCTGCACCCACTTTTATGAGACGATTTTATGATGATCTGCACAGATACTGATTTGTGATGAAAAGCACGCTGAGGATTTTAGCAGTTTATCGGAGCTAAGCGGTAAATCACCGACATCTCAGCTGTATACAGTACGAGGGCATGTGTGCGCGATGTGTGTGTGCGCGCATGGAAATAACTCTCCAGTGCTGGCTGAAGCCACAGGACACAGTACTGAACGCTCGACAGTTTGTGTTGTTTCAGTGTCCGGAGTCGCTTCCAACACACAGAACACAATGTGGTTTTTTTATGTGGATGTTGGCTGAGGTGTAGAGGTGCAGGTTTGGTTTAATTGCTCTCCAGCAGGTAGAAGGGGGAAGCTGAGAGAAAACTGAGGGTGGAGAGTGTGGGGTCTTTATTTTTACGCCAGCCGTGTTATAAATCATTGGGGGAAGTGGCCCTGAGCACTTGGGTTTAGTCCATTGAAAAGCTGTTTGTACTGGATGAAGAGATTGTCATCCTTGCTCGGTGCCAGACACTAACTGATGCAGCTTACAGTTACCCAGCATTGGGAGCGCTTGGCCACACCTAGAAAAATCACTGTGCAGTTGTTTTTGACCCCACTTACACTGAACTTCCCTCCTTATAGCACAGTGCATTTTAGGGAACATTGTAGGACTGTCTGCAATGTTCCCTAAAACATTGGACTACGAAACAGCTACCAAATCCCTGTATTTCATTCATTGAACTATCTCTTGTTCATCAGTAGGAGCAGAGTGATGCAGGTGGCAGATAGGCTGGTGTGGCAGTAAGTTTATTAGTAAATCAATGTGCTTAACTTCAGCTTTGGGTAAAGACCAAAAGACAACCAGCTAATCCATGACTCATGGTGTTACCATTCATGCAGGTAGGAATCATTGCTGTTTCCCAAACTGAATGATTGGTACTCTGGAATCACAGTCCAAGAAAAACAATGCAGTTAGTGTCTCATAAGGTGATTCAAAAACAGATGACCAATGTGACAGAGTTAAGTTTTCTCTTACACTCAGGTACAAATTTATTTTTTCTATCGATCGCTCACAGTTTTTTCCCCAGGGCTGGCCAGGTGGATGTTATGACTTTTTTTTAGGCAAAGTATCTGTCCAAAGATCTGTTTGTTTCTTGAACTCTGCAGGCTCGTTGAGATATTTTCTGGTAAAGTCTCACCTGGCCTTCCTGCTCTTGGGTGTAAGTAGTGATTTGTAACCCCCCCTCCCCCCCCTTTCCATTCATGAACGCATCTCTTGATCGTAAACTTTGATACTGTTATGTCGACTTCCTTAAGACTGTCCTTGTATGATCAGTAGATCATAGTTAGATGTTGAGATTTTCTTAAACAAGAACCAACAAAGTAATCTCATGCTGTCTTCCGGAGCCGTTAGGACTGGCTGAGTTGGCCAGCAGATTTCCTGTTTGTTTTTTAAGAATGTACCACATTGTTGATGTGGACACTTCTAAAGTTTTTCATTTCTTTCTTGTTAATGTCTTGGTCTTTGAGCCTAATGATGGTCTCCTTCACTTTCGTTAACATCTCTTTGGACTACAAAACAGCTACCAAATCCAAGTTTAACACTTGGAATTAAGTCCTGATCTTCTATCTTCTATTTGTCATGGAATATAATGAATACTGTATTTGGAGTAATTGGACCTTTGCTTGTCCATCAATGGTCCAATTAATCGTGAGGCTGGGGCACTGTGTATAAAGGTTAATGCAATACTTTTAAACCCCTTAAATCAAAGCTGGAGTCCTCAGTCACATCTTGACTATTTGATTTGAAATTCACTGCGGCTGCGTACAGAGGAAAAGCTATGCAAAGTACGTCACCGTCTAAATACAGCACTTTCTTTTTACCTTTCTGTTCATTTGGACATGGACATCAACACATTTACTTGAAACGAGTATATTTTCACTGTCACTGTGTTTGTTTGGTCCTCAATTAGAATTATAGAAGTTTTTAAAAGGTCTTTAAAATTCGTAGGCGCCCTGTGTGAGTGGAATACGTGTCTGACAGCCAGGCAGCCATCAAGTGAGGCTACCACTGGTCACCGCAAGGATTATTTTGACACGGTGGGTTGCTGTTAGTTAATAGATACATGTAACGCGCACACACACTCTAACCTCTTTCGCCCGCATACACAGGCAGCTTTGGTTTTGGGAATATGTGTATTCAGTGTCCAGGTGTTAAGGGAAAGTTCTTTGCAGTTAAGCTGATGACAGACATGTGGCTATAACTACACATAAAGTATGTGTGCAGGAGCAGACTCAGTGATCCTCCATACCAGCATCCAGACATGAAGCTGTGGCAGCTAAAGCCCCCATCAACAGTCTGATCCACCATCTCTGTGGGGGAGAAGCTGTTTCGCTCCTCCTCCTCTGATGTTTCCTTATCTGATCGGTCCGCTCTGGGATGAATTGTAATCTGAAAAATCTTAACTCGCTGTTTGGAATTTTACTACGATCTAAATAATTTTTGCATGTGAGAAATAGGCTGTGTTAAATTTCACTATAAATGCCTCAGCGCAAGTCCAAAACCCTTGGTCACAATTGGTTTTTACTTACCCTGCATTACGTTTTTATGTCGAATAGCACTATTAAAAACTAGATGTGTAGAACCTGGATCGCTAATCTAGCTTCAAAAAAGTATTTACAACAAAATATTCAGTCACAGAATTTTATTTTGATTGTTTATCCCTGTTTTTTATTATTATTATTATTACTATCTAGTTTTCCTGGCACCTCATGTTGAATACACCCTCACTTCTAAGCTCTGAGAGGATGTGACACACATTAAGTATGTGGTACTGGTCTGTGTAGTCATGGATAAGCAATAAAACAAAAGCATTTGTTTCAGTCTACACCCCTCTCCATCTGTCTTTTGAGGCCTTTAAATTCAGCCTGGTTTCACTAGAAAACGTCTGATTGCTGATTTGTTTGGGATTATCGTCTTGTTCCATGATCCAATTTAAGCAAACCTTCAGCTGTCAGACACATGGCCTATCGAGGAGCTCATGGTTGACTCAGTGACTGCAAGGTGCCCAGATCCTGTGGTTGCAAAACAAGCCGAAGTTATGACCCCTCCCCCACCGTGCAGGTCTGTGTGCTGATATGCTGTGTTTGTTTTTTCCCCCCAACGTGGAGCTGTGCATTAAATTATATAAATGCCATATTTCATGAACTAACATAAGACTGGGCTGTCATACCACAGACCGGAAGTTATAGGTCTTAGTGGTTTATGTGGTTTCCAGGACTTTCATTATAAAATCCCCAGTGAGATGCTGAGAGCATATTTCATGGGAAACATTACGGGAGATCCAGGATTTTCTATCATTCGATTGACTTGATCTGTTCGGGACTCCCAAGCAGTGTAAGGCAGGTAGAATACAGCACACACATTTTTAATGTGAAGTGTCAGATGTAAAACACTGACGCTGGTGTCTCACTGGCCACCAGCGTGGTTTTAACAAACACTCTTCTTGTGTTGCACAACACGACCGTTTCACAGCAAAAAACACTGGAGACACTAAGAGGAAAGCCGAGAGGGAAGATGAGGGGAGGAGAGCAGGAGGAGAAAGAACTGCAACTGTCATCATAAACAAGAACCATCTGTCTCATTTGTGTAACTTGTTTTCTTTTAATATGAGAAGTATGCTGAAGAGATCTGGGAGTTTGAGAGAGGCCTGGGAGGGCTGGGCCCTGGGCTAAAGCCAGCCTTCTCCTGGGTTCTCTGAGCGACTGGCATTAATATCCAGCCAACCTGCAGAGTTAACCCTTTGCACGCTCACAACACAGACTGATGGAGAAAGACGGCAAACTTTTAACGGGCTTTAACCTTTAACGTGCGTAGGTAGCTGAGTGGTAAATGGAGCTGTCTGAGGGATGAAGTGCTGGAAGGGAAATGCATTGGGATGAATACATGAATATATTCCAAATTTAATTTTAAAGAGCTCCCCAAGATGCCTTTTAATCATGCTAACACCGTGTCTGCAAAGAGCCAGAGCTAATTCAGAATCCCCAGGCTTGGTTCCATAAGTGAGGAAACTTCACTATCCAGCTGATTTGATCCCACAGAGCAGCCTCAGAACAAATCCTTACCTGATATTCTGTAATGTTTTTGACCTTTTTTTTTTTTTTTTTACAAAAGTCATTCTTAATAATGCATTTGAAATCACAAAACTTCACTTTTGCAGTAAATGAAAAGAACCAACCCCCCAAAACACTACACCTGAGAATATTGTTTAGGGAATCACAACTTTATACCCTTAGCAATGGTCATTTCGGTATCTATAGTAGGGTGCAAAAGTCTTGCAAAAACCCTTACTTCTTTATGTTTTGCATGAAAAATGGGAAATGAGTGCAGCGATTTATTGAAACGTGGAAATACAGTATATGTGAAAAAACAGAGTTTGTACAACTGTAACAAGCTTGAAAGTCAATTTTTGGTGTGATCATCTTTATTCTTCAACGCAGCCTGAACTCTCTTAGGCAAGCTTTCTTGTAATTTCTTTAAGTAGCCTTCAGGAATAGTTCTCCAGGCTTTTTGAAGGACTTTCAACGCTCTTCTTTTCTCTGCTGATGATGGCACACTGCTTCAGTAATGTTCAGGTCTGTGCTCTGGGGAGGCCAGTCCATGACTCATAGTGTTCTCTGTGTTTTTTATCCAGGTATGCTTTTACTGAATTCACATATTAAGCAAAATTACCTTTTTCAGTGTGTGAAAGAAAGGCCTGAAGATAGGTAGACAGATTATTTTTCAAAGAAAATATATATCTTGAAAAGTATCTGACATATGAAGCTACAATTTCACAGCAATCTTTATAAATTAATAAGCACGCGGCTTGGTTGATTTGAGAGGGATTGACCCTGAAAGTAAAGAGAAGCAAGCCACTCTCTGTCCTTTAATATGTCAGTGTGGCTCATGTCTCTTTCTTCCTCTCACTCTCTTTGTCTCATGTGTAAGATGGATAATTTAATTACAGTTTGGATTTTGGTATTTAAGTGAGCGGATAGCCCACATTGTCCTCATAATCCACTGCAAAAATAACAATGATAGTTTGATATTGTTTTCTTAAGTTTTACACGTGCCTGCATCTACTAGGAGCAGTAGTGATAAAAACATTAACATGTAATTACAAGGCCAAGCCCAAATGACTCTAATGTGTCCAAAATCAGAATACTGGAGCTGTGCCTGAATGTCATGTTGAAAAATTAGGCTTTCACCACTCAGACTCTCTCCACACAGATCAAAATCTGATGGTACATTTCAGAAAAAAACATGGCGGGTACAGGAAAATTACTTTTTAATATAACTGGGTACATGACCACTTAGACTGAGAGGTGTGGAGCTGTAGTTAGGCCTCGCCTCCATTGATTTGGCACAGTGAACTGGATTTCTTCACTTTGTGGTGAAATGCTGTGTGGTACAAGGCTTGTTCAAGAGAGCTGCACTTCACCTTTGGTGAGTATAATTCTGGTATTTTAGTAGTCTGATGCTTAGCTGATAGGTGTTCATCCCGCCCATACAGTTTATGGCCTACTCACTAGGGACGGGAATTGATAAGAACTTAATGATTCAGATTTAGCGTGTTAGAGGTATTTCCCCTTGTGATCAGTGTTGGGGTCATTACTCAAAAAAAGTAATGTATTACACATACTACACAGAACACAACGGCTTTAGCACCACTCTGAGTTCTTGGCTAGCTTAGCGTTAGCAGGCACTGAAGATGTGTCAGCAGCATAATGCGGTTGATTCCGCTGTGGACGCAGTTTGCACTTTATCATTGAACTGTTGTCCTTTTGTGCAATAAAAAAAATTGTAATGTCAATATCCAAGCTGCAGGATGCACCACTATTTTCCTCCTCTGGCACACAAACTAGCGCAAGTACAAGGGGAACCGATAAGCTGAAGGTCCGGAGACACATGATGAGGGGTTCAGTCATTCAGTGGACGAATGCACGTCTGTCACCTCGTTGCATGTCTATGAAAGGTGTGTGTATTCGATTGTGAGTGCCTCTTTTTGTTTGGGAAGGTTGGTTATGGCCTGTTAAACGTTTGTGTGGATGGTATGCTAGGTATTAGTCTAATATGTCAGCTATGATTAGCTTAAACATTTATGTTTCAGTGCTCATAAATCCAGATTTGTAGCATTTTGATTCTGACAGACTCTCTAGTGTACACAGATTAAGTTGTAAAACCCCCACTGTCAGCCTCTTGTCTCTGCCACAACCACAGAAGACCACAAGAAGCATTAGCCTTCTCTGGCTGGCTCGCTGTACAATATATGTCACTATCTCAGCGTGCGTGCACACACACACACACACACACACACACACACACACACACACACACACACACACACACACACACAAATTTGGTTGCAGACTTTCGCAATCAGTGTGGCCACCACCACCCACCTCATGTGGGCCATCACAGTGGCTTAATGAAGGACAGATCTGAGAGTGGTTACGTTTTCCGCAGAGTGGAGCGCTGACTGGGTCCAGTGTTAAGTCAACGATATTGGAGACGAACGAGCAAGCAAGCCAGAGCTGGAAGGGTGCAGGGGGGGTAGCATGATACTGATAGAGATAGAAGGAGGGAAAAAAAGCATATGCCATGTGGTCTGCATTTCACTATAATCCCTGTTCTAGCCTGGTGTTCCTGCTTGTGCTCCTTCTTCAGCCCAAACCCAATCAGACGGGCTTTGAAATCTGAGCAGTCGCTCCGGTTCTTCCCAAAACTGCCTTCCCCACGCTGCAGGAAATACATCCTTGGTTGGTGTAGCATAAGCGCTGATATATGGTGCATAAACTGTGTTTATAGGTGTCAGGGGTGCAGGAAAACATCTCGGGGTGTACTGCTCACACACTCATACACACACACGCACGCACACACACAAAATACTGCACAGTGCAAACTGTGGCCACATAATAATGCAGCTGAAAGACACGGGAAATGGGTGATTTTATTGAAATATGTGTATGTCTGTCAGCAGAGCTCTGTGTGTGTGTGTGTTTGGAGTTGGTGGTGGAGACTCTGCACTCTTTTACTTTCCATCTTCTTGACTATTATATCTGCCTCTCTCTCTCTTACACACACACACACACACACACACACACACACACACACACACACACACGTTTTATAACAAAAAGCGACAAAAGCCTTTTTTTTGACACAGCATATATTCATTATTAACATACATTCATAGGCAGTATAGTCTTCAGTGTATAAGTCTTTACAGATCTACAGTATGTCTCTATGATGATAGCAAGTTATTATAGGAAAGCTTGGCTTTATGATGGTGGTACAAGATGACAGTAGAGTCCTGAAAGTGGCATGAGAAACTGTGTGTGTAGTGTGTGTGTGTGTGTGCGTGTTAGGAAAGGAACAGGGAACACTTGGTCGTGTGATTTTGTGTTTGCTGCTGTAGGGCGAGGGCTCTATGTGCGCTTGGAGAGAAAGTGCTTCAGTCATCATGTGTGATGAACATGCTCGGCAACCCTCTGGCAGACCCCTTTCTTTGTATGTCTGAATGTGTATTTACATTATGTCTGTTTGGAGATGCAGGCATGTCGCTGTGTGTTAACTTGACTGTGTGTTGTTTGCATTAAGCTGACTAGCATTTGGCAGATGACAGCGTGCAGCACAAGGTCAGAACCCGCATCGATTCTCAAACGAGCACACAGGGTGATGCTAAGGACATGCGCCGAAGCTGACGTAGAAAGTGTTTTTCATGGAAGCTGTCTGGTGTGTGTTTGTGGCTAGCAGCTGTGGGTGAATGCAGGTGTGAGTGTTTTGTTTGACCGACGCCCATCACCTGCCTACTGAAAAAACAGGACACAGCTGACAGTGGCTTTCGTCCGTCCGTCATCGTCCTCTTGTCGGTAGGAAGACAGTGGATGAGTGAGTAGAGCAGCATCAGGGTGTTGCGGAGGGCAAAATAAGCGACTCAGAGGCAAATGAGCCTCAGCGCAGCCATGTATACTCAGAAAGCAAATCACAAAGAGTTCCTCTTTGTTGTTTTAGCCTGTCCTGTGACAGACTCGCAGTCTCCATTTTTGTCTCCAAGTGAGTCCCTGAAGCAGCAGCAGCAACGAGGGCTGACGGCCAACAACCCTCCTCCTTAACACAACCCCCAAACCCCCAAACTGCCTAGCCGTTTGTCTAGTTTGTCCATGATAATCTCCACTCGTCGGTTTGTCTGTAGTCCTTCTATAACTGCCCCTGTCAACCCCCTCAGCAAAACTCTCAACAAATAAGTTAAACATTACAAAAATAAGGATCAATGACAAACTAAATATGACTGTGAGGGAGCGAATCAGGAACTGAAAGATGCTCTCTACTTGAGAAGAAACAAACAGACTGTAGCTTTATAGGAAATCCCATGCCTAATCTACTGACGTCCACTAAGGTGGCAAAAAAAAATAAAGGATCAGATGACCTTTGACCTCTCGGGCAATCAGTCTGTGTCTGTTGAATAGCAGTAGGAGGCTGGGATGGTTAAAGGAGATGAAGGAACTAAACAAGTCCTCCCTACTCCCTCTTTTCTTTAGCCGATCAGGAGTACGGGGCATTTTTTGTCTATCAGCAGTTCCCTCTGTGCCTCCGCCTCCATCACCGGCACGTGTGAATCTCCACCATTTTACGGCACTGTTTGCATTTAACGTAACAGCACCAGTGGAACTTACAGCTGCACCTGTCCACCACCTCCACCTCCTGTGTCTGGAAGCCACGGCCGCAGCACATCAGCTCACAGCCGTCGATGGCCTTGGATGTTCGGTTACACTGGCGACCCACCGTGCCCAGCATCCCTGGCGTGCGTGGATCGTAATCGCAGAAATCTGGACTTGGTTCCAGGTAGACCAGGTCTTCATCCGTGTGAGGTTTGAACTGGGAATTGCGAGGAACTAGGACTTTGGTTGTGCCCACCTTCCGCTGCTCTACCTCGGTAGCGCCATCAAACTTCTCCTTGATGATGTTGCCCACCTTGCGAAATGGTGGCATGGCTTTCCAGCAGGTCTTCACCTCACAGGAGCCTGAGACGCCGTGGCATTTGCACTCCACACGCATGTGAGACAGGATGGCCTGCAAGGATTCCAAAGAACATTTGGTTTGCTGAAACAGCTTTAAAAGCAGCAGATCTGGATGCCAACATCTGTTTCTCTAACGCTGAATTTGCTCTCAGTAACACCTAAAACAAAAATGGAGCTTTGACTCGTATTTCTATTAAATGACTTGATACCTGACTTTGCATTTGTCTCAAATAATTTGTTGTCTTTTAGTTTTCTCACATTTTTTTAGATCTCTCAGTAACTTCACATTTAATTTGGACTGATCTTAAATGACTGAAGACCAGACTTGATGTTTCTTTTTAAAAGAAACTTGACTGTAAATTAATGCAGTGCCACCCTACAAAAGGGAAAATCGAATTACTAGAGACTTGGAGGTTTATCTCTTATAATTTGGGGCTTAACTTTCTATTTGGTTATGCTCACTTGGACTTTTCTCGAATGGTTGGACTAGACTACTAACATCAACAACAACATTAAACTTGTCTTAAAGAACTTGTGACATGATTTGAGAACTCTGGGTTTGACTTTCTAGGCTGACTTGAGAATTGACATTGACTTGTCACATATGGTGTGACACTTGGACTTGTCTTAAATAACTCGATCACAACTTGGCTTAAGCCTGTTTTTAACAAATATAATCATTTGACTGTAATGGACATCAAACCCCTACAAAAGGTAAAAACTACTTTTTAAAATATCTTGATCCTTTGAATGGCTGGAGACTTGACTTGGGAATGTGTCTTATAACTCTTATAACTTGAGGCTTCTCATCTACTTGAGAGTTGACCTTGGATCTTCTGTAAATAAATTCAAGGTTTCAAGCTTTTTTTGTTATCTTGAATGACTTGATTGTTTCAAATAATTTGAACATAAGCCACGGCTCTTTATCAACAGCAGTGGATTACCTTTCTGCCGGCCTCGTTGTTGTGCAGGTTCATGAGAGCCCGACTGGAGGACTGGCCTTTACTCCTCTCCCTCACATCGACAAAGGACTGAGAGAAGGCCACTCCATATGCAATGTTATCACTGCAGCCTGACCACTGGAACCCTAATAAAGGATATTAATACAGAGACATTGTCATTGTAAGGCTTTTAAATGTTGCACTGATACTATACCACAAGCTATTTTTCAGTCAGGTTTTATTCTTTATAAACTTATAATTTAATGTGGAAATGTGTGTGGGGTGGCTTTAAAATGTCATCATTAACAGTCTCACAGTTATGTCTGCTTGGAAAACAATTTTCATATTATATAGTCTTATTTCTGCATTAAACTGTACAGGATCAGTTGGCCCTTGTGTTTCCTTTTCTGAGTGTGTGTTTGTGTGAAAGAGTGAGAGAGACCTACCCTCTGGACTGACTCCATGTACATTGTGGTCACAACCACATTTTTCCAGCTCCCCGCTGCTGCAGGCCCTCGTGACCGCAAACGCCACACTGGCTGCTGAGATGGCATACACAAAGGCTGCTTCACGGGTGCCTAACACACAAGCATAAACACAAGCACACAGTCACATTGTGTCATTATGCAAATGAAAAGAGCTTGTACTTCTGAATGATCAGATAAAGTGTATGTGTGTGTGTATACACACAAAAGTGTGTTAAAATCTAAAGAATTGGGCCCAGACATTAATACGCTGGAGCCAATAGAAATGGAAACAAGCTCAAACATTTCACAGTATATAAAACATGATGAGTTATTTATGTTGCACTTTTGTAAATGCAGAACAGATAAACCTGTTTTAGCATTATAGACCAGCTTTAGTGTTGTCTGCCATTAAAGTGTCTTCTGGAATCGCTGCAGTGGATGATCTTACCTTGCGTGACCACTTTCCCAAACACAGGCATCGACTCCAGTGTGGAGCAGTTCCATCGACGGTTGCGAAACTGAAACTGACACTCATCTATAGCCAGCTGGGCTCCACGACGCACCGCATCCATCACCTCCACGCTCCGCTTACAGATCTGAACCTGTAGTGGACACACAGGAGCTGCATCACCCACAAACGAAGAGCATGCAGCTAGAAAGTTTTTACTGTTCTGATCTAAGCTTAAAATTAGTGGCATGGATACTTTGAGAGGTGTGACAACAAAGGCAGCCGGAGGGGATATTTGTCTTTTAGGGCTCACGTTAGCTAAAATGAGTCACTGGGTTGAACTTGTCGATTTTGTTGGTGCTCTTGGGTCTTTTAGAGCATTCGTAATGGAATTATCTGGAAAATAATACAGTTTGCTGTGTTTTTCCACCTATCCAAGAAGCTTCCCTATTAGCATTTAATTAGTTTGTCACTTACACTGATAAGCAGGTCCATTTGTGCACTTCATGGATGTAGTATTCAACCCAGACTTGCTCCTCTAGCAAATGAATTAGCTCCCCACCCTCTCATCTGTTTATATAGTCATTTCTGAGTCCAAAACCAACATGGGCAAAAATATGAGTGCTTCAGAACAGATCCTCAAAAATCGTTACTTTCATCTTTTAAATACGGTGTATTGTTACTACCTGTTTCGGCACTTCATGATGCTTATATGCTCAAACTTTCAGTATTAGCATAATACATTATAACACCTATGCTGCATGTGCTCTAATAATTTGGTTTGTTGGTATGCTAGTAGTTATGTAATACCTGTATTCTGTCAGAAACCAAAATACAAGACAAATTAAATTTGACCTGATGGAGGGGCCTCATGACAAGTAAGAGGATCATCAGAATTAAATTCCATTGTAAATTTTCCTGGAGGGCAAATGTCATTGTAACCAATCCGAAACTTGTCAAGAAAATTTCACCCCAACCACAAATGCCAACTTTGGGGTGGCGCCAGAGGAAAAGTCAGGGGATCAGCAAAGTCATGTCTGGGACCCGGGAATGTCTGTAGAAAATTATGTCCCAATATATCCAGTAGATGTGGAGATATTTCGCTGGATAATGGAACGTTTGGGATTACTGGTGGCACTACAGGAAATGTCTGGGGATCACCTGAGTCAATAGGAGTCAGGAATGTCAGTGTAAAAATCAGTGGCAATGCAACCAGTAGTTAGTGAGACATATCAACATGCTAACTTTACTACCTCTAATTTCCATGAGCCTATGAGTTCCAACGATCATAGCAAAATTTTGTCCATATTGTTACCCATATGGTTTTCTTTAACATATGTAAACTTCTATATGTAGTTTTGTAAATGTATTCAGTTTTGTTTTGGATGACCTCTTGGATTTAATCTTGTAAATGGAGCCTATATGTTGTTAGTGAGGCAGGACAGACCACAGGTAACCGCTCAGTGTGCACGGCTGTGCGTTCAACTCAGGTTGGAATTTTCCAAGTTGAGGATTACAATTTCCAAGCTTGGAGTGTCCAAGACTCACAATACCGAATGTAAACAATCAAGATGGCTTACCACGAGAAACCTTTTTTTTTCATGGCAGGCAATGCATAGAAATCAGCAAAGCTTAGCTGGATATGGAACAGAGGAGGACAAAACAACAGCTAGAAGTGGCTGGAACAAATAATATCACCACATATCTGTTTAAAATACCTGACAAAGCAGTAAACCAAATGCCATAAATGTTGCAAACAATGTCATAATGTAGCCTAGAAGCCTTTGATGTATTCTGTAGATGCTACCATATCGAGTAACATAGTAGCCTTAGCTTGTTGGGGTTGATGTACAAGTCAGGCCCCAGTTTCTGAATCTTCCAAGGACTCATCTATGAAGTGTTGTCCTCTCAAGAGGAAGCAGGCTGGTTTTGTTTCTGCTAACAACTGACATCAGAAAACCAATGAGCTAACAATCTTTAAAACCGCTTTATGTACACTTTTTTTTTTTACGCTCAAATTCTTTGAATGTAGAACTTTTCAAGAATTAACAGCTTGGTTTTACTAGTCTACACTATCAAACCTTAAAAATGATTGATAGCAGTAGTTTATAAATTCTTCTTCATGATTAAGGACTTACATGCTTGTTAAAATCATCTGCAACCCTCAGTGATGAAAGTTGAAATTCCTTTGCAGGTCCTTCCATGAACATTTCAGGCTGGGTCCAAAAATGATTCAATCCCCCAGAGACTTCCATGTTAAAATGGCCAACTTTACAGCCTTAGGAAGCCATGCTTGTAGGCTGGTGCAATAAATATGTTTGCCCTGTATGGATAGTATTGCTCTTTATGTATATCCATACTGATATTGGAGTTTTGGGTGTGGACTGATGGACACTGATGGACAGCTCACCTTGACTGAATATAACTCTTTATAGTGAAAAACAAGTGCATTTGTAACTTCATAACTGACTTAGTAACTTATTACTACAGTTGAGTGGAGTACCTGTCTCTGGATCAGGCCTCGTAACCTCTCACACGTCTCCTCGTCCCTGATGCTCCCCACTGATGACAGCTTGGCGAGGTACCTAGTGGAAAAAACAACAAGGCTTCTTTAGTGAGCTCAAAAAAGCAATATTTCATTTTACAAATACACAGTAAATGGCCTCAAGGTGGATTTGAACAGGGCTCTGCATTAAACTTTATGCTATATGGGATGCTTGCTAAACTGGCTCCCTCCCCCTCCTAGATCATCATTCAGTGCAAATATGATACACAAAGAAATTTGTGAGTCTTGAACAAACATTTACTTGGAGCCTACAGGAGGATGCTGGTGAAGTAAGAAGAGTAAGGAGAGTCAGCCGTATGATGCAAGCAGCAACTCGAGTATCCAGCCTGAACTAACTTGCAGACTTTCTTGAGCCATGCTCATCATTAATCATTCTTACAGTTGGGAAGCAGAGCTGCAAAAAGCTCCCGTGCCTTTGTGGGAATGTTTTGGATGAACATCCAAGTGTGAGGACATTGAGAGGAGGGAAAGTGGCTTATCACACAAACACACCACCTCCAGGCCAGACAGGTCAGGGAGATATACTGCACACACACACACACACACACACACACACACACACACACACACACACACACACACACAGTCTAAGATATATGAGAAAATGGCATCAGTCTGGATGCCCTGACCCTACCACTTCCACCTCAGCCTCATATCTCAAGTCATAGCTTCACCTTACAGAAATAGGCTTTCTCATAACTACCCAAGCTGTGTACTGTCTGCACCCCTCAGTGTCCCAAGACGTCATGTGCATGTACATGTTGAGTCTAAAATGTTTTGTTTTTCTAAAACAAACAGATGTGATCCTTAGCTGTTTTCATTTCCCCAAAAATGAAAAAACAAAACAAAACAAGCACAGGTTAGAAATTGGTATCTAATAATGATTAATTTTATTTTGGTAAATTATTTAGGGAAAATGTGGAGGCTGAAGTTTAACTATTACACCTGCTTTTGTGAAATACAGCAAAATGGCAATTTTACAACAAGATTTTGCTGAAACAAAGACAGAAGAAAATAATAAAAAGAAAATAATAAATGAAGAATAATGTTTTATAAACAATGATAATGATACTAACACTTTTTCCTGAGTTCATATTTTATCTCTAATTTCAAGACACTTATGAATATCATTTTCATACAGTGTAGTGTCAGTGAATAAACTGGTGTATAAAAATATTAAAAATAAAAGTTGTATTCCATATGTACTTTTTGTTTGCTTTTTATGCTAATTTTTGCATCTTGCTGGAAATTGATTTCCAGCCTCATATCTGTGAGTAAATATCTGCAGAGGGAGATTCAGGAGGTGTTAATCAGCAATCACACAAGGCTACAGACCAGTTGGCGACCACCTTCACTAGGGAAAAGTGAGTATTCTCCAACTGGTTGTGAGTGGTTTCTGGAGGTTGCTGTCACTCACTGCTAAAGCTTCAGACACACAGGTCTAAAAACCGGTCCTCAAAAAAAAACTGTTATTAATGCATCAAAAGGCTTTGCTAAGACATGGAGGGATGCCAAACCGTGTTCTTTAGCAGGCGAAATCCAAAGAAGAGCTGAGTATTGATCTCTCAGTTCTCAGGAAACACTGGATTGTGATGTGTTCTGTGTGGCTTCACAGCATCAGTATATATAGCAGTATATGTATTAACTCAAAATGCTCAAAAGCTGGCATACACTTTCAAATGTGGTATCATATCTAGATTTTGAAGTGAACACCCTGTTTTATCAGGCATCTTTCCACAGACCTGTGCTGGATTCTCAATCAGATTTTGAAAGAAACACATGCACATTTGTTAAATGTAATTTATTTTCTTGCCACTTTTGGGGCAAAAAAGGACCTTGAAAACTGAGGTTTTCAAGGTTTAATATAGTTAATGTTTGAAAGCATCTATTGTAACTTTTGGTCATTTCCAAAACTTAGTAAAAAGGAGTCTAAATCTGAGATTAAAAAAAGAAAGCTTAGAAGCCAAAAAGTTGAAATAATGGGCTGTGACTAATTCTTTAACCACCTGTTGGTCTCACTGTAAGGTATTTCTGAAGGGAGAAAACGAGAGGGAAAAAAGAGCACTGCATATAGTTATATAGTCGTATAGCCATGTCTTTTTAGGAGACATGGCTGATTTTACTATGTAAGAAAGAATTCAGTAAATGGGCACTGGTCAGAGTTTGAATACCAAAATGTCCCTTAATAAAGGCAAATTCCAACAGAATTAACTTTTAGACTATTATTCTGTACAAGTAGACGTGTATTTCCTTCAGGTTCCCCCAGCTTCTTTTATGAGTCTTGGGTTATGAGTTCCCAGACCACACATACCTCTGTAAAGCCCTGCTTGCCCATCTCAATCAAGCCATGGCGCACAACCAGACTGCAAAGAATTCTTCTGTAAGATTACCGACCAAACTTTAATATAACACAAAGCCAGCTGAAGTTCTTTACACTGGCTAAGGCTATAGATCGTTTAATAAAGTTGGCTCGTAGCCACTGCTCAACTCTTTTAACCTCTTAACATCCACCAGATCACTGGAGACCTTACTAAGATTGGTTTTCTTTAAGTCATATGCTAAATAAGTAAAAAAGCTGAAATCGCATGCATTCCTTTTGGCATTACAGCTTCCCTGTTTGGGTGTAGTGACGAGCGTTCTATAAAAAGGGTGGATGCTAACGTTACCAAAACACTAGCCCTGACTCTAGATGGGACACAATGACCTGGTGGATGTAACACGTGTTAATGGGGCAGTATTACGATGCCGTCCTTCTTGAGGTCAAACAGCTCCTCCTCCCCCTTCACCCTCTTCATCGCCACCTCTCAACAGCTGAGATAATGTCTTCCTCTCTCTTTCTCTCTGTCTGTTCCATGGACTTTTTCTCTTCCCATCCAGACAGCGTCTGGATTAAACACTCATCACTGTGATAACCCTACTCTCTGCCACTCTGCCACCTCTTAGCCGCATCTGCTCACATCCTCCCAAACGATTGACATCATGCGCTCAGAAAGTTAAAGCACCTCCATGCTGACCTTCAACAGAAAGTCTGCACTATTCTCTCATGTCGTGGACAACAAGCATTGTGGCTGAAATTAGCACTGATCAGCACTTCTGTGTTAACGATGGAATATGTAAAAATTTGAAATGGTTACAATTAACTCTATGAAATGTATCACATTTTAGTGTATTGCAGAAGTAACATGCTCTGATAAATAGTGACTTGCATGTTGGCTTGGACAACATGCAGCATTAAGCAACTACGGAGCCACAGAAGGTCTGAGCTGGAAAGAGAAAGTGTGGCTATTCATTTGTTGAGTCAGAAAAAGTGTGGGCAATGCGGAGGTGCTGTAAACTTGCATTCTTCCTAATGACTAGCAAGTGGGGGATTTCTCTTATTGCAAACACAAGTCATGCAATGAAAGTCTTTATGAAAATGACCCCCATTCCTTCACAATTTATCACCTCATTTATTTTCAAATGTGTTCAGGGCTTCTGTGGCTACTTTCAAGTACTCTTTACAGGTTTGTTTGTTGCATTGTGATTTAATTTAGAGTAGACTAGATGATAAAGGAAGATGCTTCAAAAGACCTAAAGACTTCAAAATGAATGTTGAGTTAATCATTTAACAATAAACCTTTTTGAAGCCAAACTGAATCCATGTAAAACCCTGAATTTAAACCTAAAACCTGACATTTGCAGACCTCATTATTTAGTGACATCATCATTAAACAACATGAGAGTGTGAAGGATCATGAACAGTAATCAACAAACAGGTAATCAGAGGAGACATTATGTATGCATTTCACTGAAATGTTTATCTGTGATGTGCTAACATGTAATTTGGTGGAAAGAGGACTCGGATGTTTTGTGAATTGTACACAGTGTAGAAATGTCAACAAGCAATACAAATGAAAAGTGTAACAAGCAACAAGTACTGGAAGAATATAAATGGCTTACTGTCTGGACAAGATACATATTTATCATTATTATTAGAACATATTGGCTCAAAGTAAATTCCCAGCATATGTGGATTTGCACAACTCCAATCTGAACGACCTCCAACCTCCAACCTTTCTAATCAAGGCGCGTAAGTCAAAACACCTGTGTGCACACGCAGTGCCAAATCATATTTTATAAGTCACTCAGAGGTTTGGGTTTGTAAAAGGAAAATATCTACAAGCTACAGCTACCAGAGTAATGTTTTTAATCAGAAAAAAAAGAGTACGAGGTATTTTACAAGACAGAGTACAATTAAATCCAATACATTCAAAGAAATGTACAATGTAGCGATAGCGCTGAAGACAAAGACACAAAGTCAGCAAATTGTATCACTAATCTGAGCCATGCGTTGTCCACCTGGGTCTTAGATCTGACGTCAATAAAGCTGAACAGTGTTGGGATCTTGAGCAATGCTGACAATGTGGAGCTGCTTTGGTAATCGTGTGTTCAGAGGGATTCATGCGGTAAGTAATACAAGCCACTCCAACCACAAGCGCTGGTGTCATACTATTAACTCACCATGCAACAAGTCACACTCCTGATTGGCTGTACTAAAATGTGCAAGTGTGTATTTTATTGATTATAAATGTAACTTCTGATTCCTCTTTGAAAGGTTAATGCTGTTGCAGAAACTGGGAAAGAACAGAAGTCCCCATTGAGCAAAAAGTGGCTGAAAAGACATGAAACAGTTGTTTGAATAATGTTGAGATTTGGTTAAAAAGTGAACGGTGCAAACATGACAGTTTTCCTTTAACTCTTCAGAGACAACAGTGCGAACCACGGCGCCCGCGTGTGAGAACAATAACTTTGGATTTGCCTGAAACCTGTAAAGATTAGGTCACCCTTCCTAGTCCAGCTAGGAAACTAGCAAAGTAAGTACACCCTTACTGCTTCTGTAGGAAGTAAGAGGGTAAGTAGCAGCCAGGTGCTTTTTGCAGTTTCCTGGTCTGGAGCATTGAGATGTGTGTCAACACACAAACCACAGTCCTCTCAGGAGTGGATGTCGCCCCAAGGTCAGACTGCGCAACGTTCATAGAA